CGCCTGCACCCTCCCCTTTATGATCGAGGAGGTAACCTCCCCCCAAACCAACGTCAAGGTTTTGGGGGAAAAATATGCGGCTAAGTGCCAGGAGCTCGAGGGGAAAGAAGAAGAGCTCGAGGCCGCCAACGTCGTCATCGCCAAACATCGAGTCGATAAGAAGATGGCCTTGAGAAAAGTCGAGAGATTAAGGGCCGACCTGGTCAAGGCCACCGATGAGGCCATGGCCGAGAGGGAGAATGGGATTCAGGAAGGCCACAGGACCTTCTTGAAATCTCCTACAGGCGCTGTTTTCTTCGACCATTACCATAAGGCTGTGGTCGAGGCGTTCTGTAACTCGTCCGACTTCCTCGACGAGCTGGTTCCCGCGGCGGTCCAATACTTTGACTTTGCTTGCGACACGTGGGAACAAGCTATGGCTCAACCCGACTTTCTCGGAAAAATCGACCGGGCGGCAGTGAAGAAGACTCTCCCCGACCCTGACGGCTTCCAGGGCGGCGAGGACCTCCCGTCTGGTCGTGAATGGTGGGACGGATCCCGTGAATGGTGGGGGCGGGGATGGTGCCGAGAAGTCGAGTGCTGACTCTTAGGCTTTATAGCTTATATTGTTTTTCTTGCTTTAGTTGTATTGCTCTTCTTATTGCCATCTCAACCTATTTTCCGATGTAAAGGTTGAGATGCCTTCGGATGTAAGAATTTTCCTTTAATATAATGCTATCTTTTTATTCAGCTGGTTGACTCATTTTTTTTACTTTCAACTGTTCTTAGTTCCTTATATCGTCTTACTATGTCTTCTCCAAACCCTTCTTGCGAGCTGGTCGAAGTCGAGCAATTACTTTAACAGCTTTATAGCTGTTGAACAAGTTTTTCGAGTCGTCTTCTACCAACCCTTCTTGCGAGCTGGTCGAAGTCGAGCAATTACTTTAACAGCTTCATAACTGTTGAACCAGTTTTTCGAGTCGTCTTCTCCCAACCCTTCTTGCGAGCTGGTCAAAGTCGAGATATTATTTTAACAGCTTCATGTT